GTACTTACATCTACAGCATCCTCCAAGGTCCGACCCACAAAACAATCCGTCAGGAGAGCCCAATTCCGCTTCAAGCAGTCAACAGCGAAGTCAGCAACATCGTTTGTCGTATCCAACTGAGCTAAGTCTATCGAGAGGGAGAGTGGGCTGAGGCAAACACAGAAATTACCTTCCTGAATGAAAATATTGAAATTCAGGATCTCCTGTTTTGACACGGACCAGGTGCCACATTGATGCCGATGTTTACAGTGAACCTCCACAAGAATCAGACCAAACAGAGTGCTTATGTGATAGATGTTGGCTTCTGCAGAGACACAGGTGACCTGAGACGTGGAAAAGCTGGAAGGTATGAGAAATGAGTGGAATGGAGGGCCTACAGGCGGTGGGAAACTTCCACGAGGCGGGATTGCGGCACCAGGGGTCCAAAGGTGAAGAGGGAAGCACCGAGTCCCACGTAGTAGGATGTCGGTAGATGGCGGTGAAATGACCCCTCCCGCTGCTCCTTCACCGGTTTTGAACATTCCAGAGCTTCTAATTGGAGGCGCAACTCCTCCTTCTCCTTCAAGACCTCCGCAGTCTTCGCCTTTGTCTCTTCGATGTTTTCACGAGCTTTGATTATCGCTGCAATATGGAAGCGAGGGGAATACTTTCAGTGGCAAACACTATTTTTCGCGAGATAATGTTACTAAATGTGGAATGTTTGACCCCCATAAACAATATGGGCGCTGGTAGCTCTGTAGTGCTTTATCCTATCTGTGACCGTAGTTATTAAGTCGCAATGATTTCGGAAGGTAAAAAGGATAATCACCACTTACCTACCAACACAGCCTCATTTTCCAAAATGCCCGACCACCCATTAAGTTCTGCAAGGAAAGACGCGGGGGTGGAACTGTAGAATTGGAGACGAAAAGAGGTAATGGATTCTAAAACTCACCGGTTTGAAGCTTGTCCACCTCCCTCAACTTAGCTTGAACCTCCTTTTCTAGAGCAATGACCTTCTCCTCCAATTGACGCTCCAGATTCTAGGTAATGTGGAATCATGCATGTACGTGATGCATACGTACAAAAAAGTGGATGAGTCAACTTACTCCCAAGGGGAATTGAAGGCTGGAAACAACTTTATTGACAGCATTAGCACAAATTCGGTTGCAGAAAAGGTCCCTCAGGAAGTTAATACGCTGGATTTTCTACAAGGATTTGGAATTGCCATGAATGCTCAAGAATGTGTATTTAGGTTACACACACGGTTATACGAGTTTCTTAAGCTTCATGCGATTTGTCTTCTACGCGGGTAGCATATAGTTCCGCTTCTACCACCTATTCGAGTAGGTGTTCACCCTTCTTGTAGACCCAGAAAAAGGTGACTTTCAGAATCATGCAATTTACAATCCCTTCAGAGCTAACTCGGGTGCCCAAAGGCATTATGCGATAAACCAATGGCAGTCCAACGGACACAATACGTGATAAATTAACCTCTTTAAAGTTAATGGCATGCACCATTACTATTCAAAAGAGATCTTTCCACCAGGCTGCCAAATTGCAGCACCACATTTGTTCCTACCTCCTGAGTAACTTCAATGAACTCTCTCAAAAAACCACCGGTTAGTGAAAAAAGTAGTGACATGTATAAGGAATTAAAGGCAGAATATTATATGACACTGATCACTCCGATTAGGTACTACCGTAGTAAAATAATTAAGCCACTTACAGTCCTGTGTAGCCCCTCTACAAATATAGGGGGTGTAGATAAGCAAAAACTATAAAGAGGCTTAAAAAGCATGGTAACTTACCCCATCAATGGATAATTCATTGAACTCCTTCAAGAAATTCAACCCAAAGTCGGCTGACTTGGTCTGCTGCAATTGTTCAACAAGTACAATTCAGTGGAAACACTACCAAAAGGACGTGCAATCAATTCGGCACAACGAATGAGGAAAACTTTGCCCTAAGATGCCGTGACTATCGTGTTCCACCACAGCCATTACGCTTCCTTTCTCAATTTACAAGAGCTTGTATGCGATCGCAAATTTTCATGCGTGATTAGTTAAAAATGGAATGGAATCGCTCCTACAAAAGTCCGATATTTTAGATGGCTCAACATTCCCAAGGGAGGCAGAGAAAGCTAGTGAACTATTACAAGTTCAACAGCTATATGGATTTTGGCGAACCGTGGCTCGAGGCATCGGTGGACAAAGTGCAGCACTTTAAATGACGAGGTTAACGCCGTGATGTGTTGACAACTTGACAAACCAGGGGGCTGACATGGGATCAGGTTCGTCGAAGTTGACGAGTGGCTAGATGGAAAGCAAGGGATGCACGAAAAAGCAGCAAGGCTCATCGACATTAGTATTTCAAAAACGCAATATCACCTTTAAAAAAGTCGACAAAGTTGGATGGAATCCGACACATTAAATAAGAAACGACAGAAAAAGCAATTGTGAACTGATAAACTGGCTGTACGCCTTTATGAATGGAGTACTTCAGGAAACAAAATTACGGATTAATTGAAGCACAAGGGTCTGCTTACCTCTGTTAACGCTAAATCCACTAACTGTCCCATTCTGCTTTTGTATGCCACGGTCCGGCTGCAAAATTGAGGAGATAAGTCAATATCCAAGAGTAAAAGATACTAACTCACCTGTTCGCATGAAGTCCGTAAAACGTTACAAGATCATCCAAAAAGGTCTGAAGGTACTGTTCCGCAGCTGGATCCAGCTTGAATCAAGCGATAAAATCATTTATTTATACACGGTTGTTAGTATACATCAAGTCGTTATGAAATGCAAAAACTAATATTTTGTTCATTTTTTGAACAACGACGATCCAGCTATAAGACTGCTAAGAAATATAGCATAACCTCCGCAGCGTTTTAAATTTCTGTTTTAACTCAAAACTCCAGCATTTACTAGAGCCTCCAGTAGATAACATTCCATCTTTTTCGCGGTTTATGAGTCTAATGTAACCTTTTCAAGCTTAAACGTGCGCTCCTTGTTCACATCCTGGACAATTTTACAAGCGGTGTTATGGAGGTTCCAGGTTTCTACACCAACGTAATGACATTACGTGTGAAAAAATGAAATAAAATTAATCCATTATTCCACAAACGATAGCATAAGAGGTGACAAATTAAACCGTAAGAAGAGCTTCGGGTATTTCAAGGAACGTTCATAACAGCAAAAAAAGAAGGATATTGACTCTTGAAAACAGGACTTAGATAAATCCAAAAAAGACAACAAATAAGCACATTAGAATAAATTGTTCAGCTAAAAATGGCACTGGATACCTTTCCTGCCTTCCAGGACTCGATGGGAAGGGCTTTTTCAAATACAAATCCAAAGGATGACGCCTTTATAACTGTCAATACATTCAGCTCCAGCATATCGTTTATGAACTCCTCCACGGTCACGCGTTGCCGCAAAACCTGAAGGAGAATAAAGTTGATGTTACTAATCCAAATGTTTAGTGACACAAAGAGCGGAGCCAAGATTTACCACGGGTGGTTCGACTTTAAGTTGACCAAAGCCACGCGTGGAGATGGCGCGAAGAAATTCAAAGTTTGTTAACAATCGCTCGGTGAGCCTCCTGTCTCTAGCAATTGATAGATCATGTTTACCAATGCCTGCAATAAAAAACTCCTCCGATGGAAGCACATGTTTTGAGGGAGTCCTCATTGAAGTAGAGAGCATGGGAGTAAGGATAGGCGTAAATAGGGGGCCCAGTGATCTTGGGGGTGGTTGCTTAGCCGAGCCCGGAACATCGAAAGCGGCTTGAGCAGGTCGGATTTTGTTGAACTCCTCCAGAGGGTTGGAGAAGGCTGATTTGGGAGACGAAAACTGTGAATGATCCTGCGGCTCTATCCTCGCCACCTCTTCTTCCTCCCAATCAGAAGGTGAGACCGGTATACGACTCTCAGCTACAAATGGCGACTTTTCAAAACTCAGGAAATGATCCTTCGGTCCCACCTGGAGATTGTCCACCTCAGAACTTAAATCAACGCCAAATGAAGGTGGCGTGACCGTTTCAATGGAATGTGAATCAGCAGATTCTGTGCTGAGTGCAACACGCTCTACACAGTCCGACTTAATTGAATCCTCTAGAACCATAGATTCTGCCTCCATGTTGACGGAACCATCGAATCCATTACTGACACCACACTCCATGCTCACGTCAGCTGTGTCATCAGCCGGTGGTTCGAGCTCAGACTCGAGATGGTTGCTGGTCATTTCAACTGTTTCGTCAATACACATGGAAACCTCCATTACGTCCGACGTGGTAGACGGAGGTGGGTTGGGGCTCTGAATGCATGAAACATCCATATCAACATCCTCATTGAGGGAGGGCTGACCTGCGTTTGTGCTGGAAAACGGATCAATAGAATACAATTGTGGCTATTACAAAATCAGTGGGAGAGAGAACGTCCCTTACTGGGTAATGTTCAGAGCACTGCTCGATGACCATTGGGAGAAATGGCTTGCGCCAGAAATCTTCGAGCCAGAAGACCCAGAAGAGGAAGATTGTATAGCACTAGGAGAAAATAGAGAATGAGGGAAATCATGTCAGAAATGAAGAGCCAATAAGGTGGATAGATGCAAGTTACCTGTAACGTTCATTGGTGAGAGAAGCAAACTCCCTAGAAAGCAAAAAATAACCGGAAAATAAGAACATATTACTGAATTTCGATTCGTTTTGAAAAAGAAACGCGTTTCCGAATGGGAGCATTTTCTTTCTATGCACCAAAAATTACGAAAAGCATGCAGTCCTACCCCAGAGGATTCCAAGTCAGGAAAGCAAATCGGTTTCAAGACCTAAAAGAGCAAAGGTAGTAAAAACATCAAAACCTACCGATTTCCTCGCTTTTTCTAGAAAAAAAGAAATCAAAAAAACATAGATTAGAAACAGGACTGGTACATTCACAAATCGGGCACGCATCAGTTGCATAAAAATAAGACACCGCATTCTAGAACGGGATCGAACTCCAGCGATTCTACATACGAAGTCGGTAGAGACACCCGAAAAAAATAAACACAAATCAGAGGAAGTGGGTAATATATCGGTGACACAGCCATCTAGTGCAAAATTTTTACTAAGAATCCATATACCACTTGCTCACGCCACCATGAACAAACAGCCTGATCAAAATCTGCGCTACATTATTGTATTATTTACACAAACCAAAAAGTGGAAAGGACTCCACTCTATCCATCAGACAATATTCATCACCATAGGACAGGATACAAGGCATGACACCTATTTAAAAAGCCGATATTCAAGCATGACTAAGCAAAATGCTAGCTATTAAATATGCTCCCTTTGAAGAAAAATAACAGTAAGACATACGGTCACCAACGCCCGACATATCCGTATTCGGAAAAAGCGGCGCGAGCCAATTTTTGCCTTATTAATACGGATAAACAAATATTGGCGAAAATTGTAATTTTATGCGCTGCAGGCTTTAAAGCAGACGGCGCACCGATTACCCACCTTTATTTTTAATGAAATAAACAGCGGACAATTCCTTGATTGCTGCATTCCTCAGTTATCACGTCATTAAGCAAAAACCGAAGCGCGTTAACCACGCAAACCGACGCCAACACCACCCACACACGGCCCACACCAGGAGACGGCCTGGCCCAACGGCCAACAAGATCCGGAATCGACCCAAGCGCCCACCAAAGAGCAAATTAGCCGAGTCAAGTGGACCAAAGTGCATAAAATTTTACAGGTACACAACACCAAATCAATACATTCCACATAGAATAGGGCACATAAAACAGGACTGCCCCAGGAGAAGCCTCTCTTGCAAGAAATGCGCACCGACCATACTTGTAATGTACAAACGACGAACTCAAAAACCGTCGTTACCAGGGTCATCCAAATCGTTGTAAGAAATAACACCACGTCCCCCAGACCTTGGTCTAAATAAATAAAAAGGTGGTAGACAAATTCTCCACAAAGCTTATGGCAATCATCCAAGAAGCGGTTACCCATCACCAGGGTAGAGTCTCTTGCGGCTGTTGTAATCCTTATAGCCACCTACACCGCGTGGACTACCTCCACGAACACCATTGTGGCCGGAGAGTGCGTAAATCTCAGCCTGATTGGTGCTGCTATAGATATTAGCTGCCCCAGACACCGCGGTAGCCGGAATTCCATGATGACTGCCATCACTCCCAAAATACTCCTAAAAAGCGAACAATGAGGATCAAATGCACCCACATACATGCCCCTAATACGAAGTATTATGCTTACACGTGGACCGTATGGCATCGAGTTAGTTCGATAGACACCACCACCCCGATAACCACCGCCGGCTCGATAAGCGCCGCCAATATTTCGCCCACGCATTCCGGGTGTGTCCCCAATGGGACCAACAGAAGTGGGTGGAGGGTAGAACCGGTTTATGAGGTGACGGGGAGCCTCCGGCAATGATGGACGTTTCGGATCACGCAGGAAGTTATTAAAAAAGATGGCCTGCAAAAGAGGCTCTTAGTATGAGCATTAGAGTTGGATAATCACTCTCCTTGGAGGATCAATAGAGAAATGCCAGACTTGGAATTCAACTAAGGGACAAATGTGGAAACATCCCTGAACCTTTCATGAAGACAACTTACATTGTCCTTTTTGGCTGCCTCCACCTTTTCCATATGTTTATTGAGGATGTGTTTGCGGACAAATACTGGCTCACGAAACTTCTTGTCTGATAAAGGACAAACCCAAACGACCTTGCATCTAAGATGACACATAATGTCATTCGCTTGAGGACACGAAATCCGGAGAGCAAATAAAGTACGTACGGTTTTTTCTTGCTTGTGCGCTTCTGGATATTCGCCTCAATAAAAGCCTCAGCTGCGGCCTCAGGATCTCTTGCACCAAGAGCCTCAATTTCCTCATCAGTCAAGTCACGGGGGACATCAAGTAAATTGGCCATTTTTTCGTTGAACGTCTGCATGAAAGGCAATAAGTATACAAGCAGACCATGTAATGGGAGTCACATTGGAAGCACAACAAAAGCACTTACACTGATGTAATCGTTGACCTCGCGTTGAGTAACGGTGGGAGTTGTGGAACCACGAGAGTCAAGCGTGCCACGAGCGTGGAAAATGCCACAACGATGGGGCATCAAGTCCTCCAACTGGTAGAGTGTCGCAGCATAATAGTCAATTGAGTAGACAATACGAAGATAAATTATAAGGCGATCAAGAGCACGCAGCAGAGAGGAATCGGTGTCGATGGGACTGAAAGAGGCAGTCTTGTCCCCTTCTCCATCAATAATATCAATTGCCTTACCGGTACTCCGGTCTAGATAATTTTTAAAAATGTGCAATATTCTCCCAAAATTGATTTGCAAATTACTTGGAATTTAACTCACTAAGCATAGCCTCCTCCTCCGAAGCAGTCTCATCGACTAGAAAATCAGTCAAATTACGCATCAAGGGATTTGCGGAAAACACACCGGGCAAACCAGGAACAGGACAAGCATTGGTAACGGCATCACCCTCCTCGTCCCCTGGAAGAGACCAGAGACTGTGCTTGGTGTCCAACTGTGCGACAAGTCGTGAGGCGATCCGCAGGTCATTGCGCATCACCGGTCTGTGACGCGTTAGGGCAGCGGATACTGGGCGAATGCGCTGAGCCAATTCACGATTTACAGTGGCGCAGAGGTCATTTGAATCTTTGCCTTGATGCCACTTTTCCCGCAAAACAGGATTTGTGTTGAGAGCCCAGCATATCTTCTTGATGTTTGCGTTGGGTTCATAGGTGGCCCAGGCGTGCCGCGTAAATCGACGCTCTGGCATAGGATCGTAGATAGCTAAGCGGATAAAACCCGGTTGTGATGTGCACATGTCCTCCAATTCCTTCCGTGTTATGGTTGGGGGCAAGCAGCGGAAAAATATTGACGCGGTTTTATGAAGGTCTCGTCGTGGAGGCTGGCGTTTGGAACCGGCTTGTCGATCAATTTCCGTCGTCAGTAAACATCCACCAGCAATGACACTATTATCTCCAGAATGTTCTGTAATATCAGCATTTTGGGGTGATGAAACATCCCTATCCTCCACTTTAATATCATTTTTGGTATCCTCGGATTTCTCCCTGTCATCAACACTCCTCATATGAGCTGAAAATAAAACAGCAAATAAGAGCACGAAAGCATCAAGTAAAAATACGCCACTACGGTGCATCAAAGCGCCGGTTTTATAAAACAAATCTCTGTTAAACTTGCAGAATACTGGCTGATGGCCGTCTTCATTTTCTGATTCCTTAGTGTCTCCGCCGTAATCTTCTTCCTCTTCATGAATATTATCTTGTGGATTTGGCCTCTCCTCAGATTCACTCTCACTGCTCACACCGGTCCAATCATTGCCAACCGCCGTCTGTTCAGGTTTTGATTCGACAGGCACCGCTCTAGGACTGCGCTTCTCGGTAAACTTGCGGGCATCCACCTCTTCACCGGAATAAAAATCGGACTCCTCACCTTCACTTTTGGGACCACTCTAGAAGCGAGATGTCTGACATGAAGCGAAGAGTAATAATAAAACAGCATCTGACAAACCAAGGAGACTAACCTTTTCTTTTGGACTCCTACGGTCGTCATCTGTGGCTTCGGGGTTATCCAATATTGCCAGATCATCATCAGTACCTCCATTTAGCTTTATTACGACCGCATCCATAAGCTTTATCAGGTTTTTACCATTTTCCATATCGACTGATTGATTGTCGATCATACCCTTATCAAACAGATCCAAAAAGACATCAAGACGCTGACGGATATTTTTGGTGACTTGCTCACGAGTGTCATCAATGAAATCTGGATGATACTTCTCCCGAAGCCTAACGCCAAATATTCGGCGAGTGGATTTTAAGGAACAAAATAATGAAAACTTAAGTAAAAAACCAACCATTCTTCATTTTTATGCGCTTCAAAAAATTCCTCAATGTAGCGTTTGTTAAACGACTCCTTGTATTCCTTGTACTTTGCAATGGCCTCCTCGTCGGTAATAAAATCATCCAAGGGTTCCAGAAACCGCTTAAAAGGCATCAGGGGTGGTCTGTAATTCATTTCATCTTCCATAGAATCCTTCTTTGTTTCTCTCGAGCGAAAGGCTGGTCGATGATCATCATTCCAGACACGACGAGGCCTCTTGCTTGGCGGTTCATTGCCGAAAGATGGCCGATCTCGTGGGCCACCAAACGAACGATAATCTGATGGACGCCGATCAGGACGTGATCGGGGAGCATTTGAATGCCCAGCAACTGCACGATCATCAAATGGTTCACGTTTTTCCCGCCTATTGTCAACGTCACTACGCTCGCGTCGGAACTTATCCCTCGTCCTGCGGATATCATTGTCATCGTCTGAATCACCCATTCTGCCTAGAAGTGGACCAAAAACCTGAGCTTCACCAGAACCCGAAAAATACCACAACTAGTATAGATAGTGGCAATAACAGGCGTAAGGCTCTTCACTCACCATCACGAGCAGAAAATTTCAGTTGCTTAGATCACGAACGTAAATGGGACATGCGTGTCAAGATGTTTATTTCGAGTAAAATACTTATTCTATGTAATGACCGTATAAATGACGTCAGGTATGACAATAGGAGTAAATTTTTTGACGGTAAGTACACAGGATAACGAGGTACCCCGCTGCCAGATAACATACCTTCGCCCCCAACTAGCTTAATGGCTGAGTTAAGAAAAGGCATTTACGAATTAAAACAAATCCGCCACTAGTCATCAATGGTGGGTCATGTGAATGAATCAAGGGCTTCTAAACCCTGCAAAGCTGCAAACCATGGTATTTTTTGGTTTGTAACTCGTATTTCAAGTTTAGAAACATTCTAAACCAAAAATTAGATTTAATGTGTAACGCCATTGGAATAAGACGTAATATCGAAAATGCTTGTCGATTACTTTAGACTAAATAGCAGGGCCTCATATCCCGGAAGTTCATAATCGTCAAGGAAAAAGAGTGGGTACCTGTTTTCCGAGAAATCCAAGACGCATATTTCGGAAAAATTATAGGGAACTAGAAAACTGCTCGGAAATGAATGGCGGGGTTTCGCCATGTAACGCTCATATGAAACACTTTAGGGTACATCATATAATGATCTTGCTAATACTAGAAAACCGGGTTCATGAAATTGATTTGCTCATGTGGGATGGGTTAGTAGAAGATCGGGCCTGAAGTCGTGAAAAACCATAACTAATCGATTGCTGCAGCTCCTTTATCATTGTCGCAGCGTCCCGGGACTTTTCTGAAGACAAAAGGAGGTGTAATACTCGGGCAGAATACATACATTCAGCACAGAGAAGGTATTTGGCCTACCGGCATAGCCTGAAGGCCAGCCCACCCGGCGTGGTACAAAGGCTATATCAAAAGAGGCTCCTCACTAAAACCGAGAATAAACAACCACCGCATTACATTGTAGCTGGCACACCATATTCCT